CACCACCCCCAGCAGTAGAGTTGTGCTGGCCTATTATAGCTGAGTGAAACTCACCTTCTGAAGGCAACTCCTCAGCTGACTTTTGCCAATCAGAGATGACCCCCTGCTCAATAGATTTTACCAAGTTTGCAACCGCCTGATTCAGGTTTCGACAAGCCACTTCAGCCGATTCCTGAGCCTTCCCACGCGAGGCCAAGATAGTATCCAGAAGCTCTTGGCCAAGAGAACCAGCAACAGATGAAACAGATTCTGCAGACACAACTTGCTCCTGACTACCCTGATCCTTATCACAGAGTGCTTCAACCTCCTCGCACTGATGACCAAAAACCCTGCACTTCCTACATCCAACCGGCCTGTTACAGTACTCCAAACTCACTTCAAAAGACGGCTTGTGATCGGGGACCAATTTCAGTGTCTCTGGAAACAATGAGTCAACAGACATTTCTACACAGACTTTAGGAAACCCCATCCTCCTCCCTAGCCTAGTTGATTGATCAAACCAGAGAGGGCGACCTAACATACTAGCCAGGCGAGTTAAGATGCGACCCGTAGCAAACTCCACAGGGAGGTCCTGAAAACAAATCCATATGGGAATGGTGGAATCACATGTCGTTGTTGAAGTGCCATGGACCACTGGTGAAGACCCAATCCGCAGCAGAGGCGTTCGGGAATTGAAACAAAAAGAGTTGCTCACTGAACCTTGAAACCCTAACAATGCCCGAATTTCCCCACAATCGATTCGCCCAGCTCTGCAATTGCTTAACTGAAGGCGTGGAGTGAAGAAACTGACCAACAAGGCTGTTCTTCCATCGAGCTTCTCCTTCCTTCACTAGTTCTTCCGGAATCCGCAGACCGCCATCCACAAGCTCAGGCTCAATATACACCAGTCGGTTAGCCTCGGCAATCCCAAACAAATCTGCCCAAGACTGACCAATGGAGGACATCGCGAGCAGTAGGAAGGCAGGAACAGACACCGTGAATGGATACGCACTCCGATCGGCGATTCACACGACGAGCAGGCCGCCGGCGAACCAGAATCGCAACGCCCTAGAGAGAGAAACTAGAGAGAAACTTTGTTTGTGTAAATTTTTTCCCCCCAAATTAACAAGGAAAAATTGCTTCTTCTCTTTACCTAATTTAGAGCAGAAGCAGAGAGAACCAGTAAGCCAGCCATTTCATATCTATACAAAAAAACTACTAACGAAGGCGGCCAGTAAACCAAGCCAGCCATTTCAAGATCGATTTTCTCCCCTATTAAAACACAGCAAACCAAATATTCCCCAAATCACCCTCTCAAATCTGCCCAAATCTTCTCCCTATTCAAAACCACAAAACCCAGACATGCAGCCTACGAATCCAATCCATGCGATGCGACTGAAGAATAAGACCATTCAAAGCTGGCAGTAGAGGGGAGAAGAAGAGAAAACCATCTTCCACCGGCTCCGAGATGCTTCAATGCCGATGTAGGGATCGTTCGTCAAGACGGGGAAATATGTGAACTTGAGAATCGTCTTCGATTCGTCACGATCCGGTTTCTAAAGTCCCAATCTCGACCGTCGCGCTCAGTAGAAGGCGGAGAGTGCTCGACCGTGGAGATCAGACGAGTGTCGGAGGATGAGGAGAACCGGGAGTGAAATCGCCGGGGAAGGGCCGGGGTGAGCGGAGGAGATTTCTCAGTTCTATAAGTTATTATAGGGGTGGGCATTCGGTCGGTTCGGTTCAAACCGAACCGAACAGACAAATACCGACTCCCCGAAGTAGTTCACAGCACAAACCGAATTCGAACCGAAATATATTTCGGTTCGGTTCATCCGAACCGAGATATATTTCGGTTCGATTCGGTTTTCGAGGCCATACCCGAAGTTCCAGAAAATAACTCCCACCCCACCTTTTTCTTTTCACGGGAAGCACTCTTTCCCACTCCCACCCCACCTTTTTCTTTTCACGTGAATCACTCTTTCCCCCTCCCACCACTTACTTTATCTCTCTCTTTACCTATCTGTCTCTCTCTCCTCATAGCACAAATGCAACCACTCCTCCCCTCTCTTGGTCTCTGGACTCGGCGGCAACAGGCGACGATGGCGAGAACATGCAAGTCAAAGCAGGCGACGATGGCGACTGACGGAGAGAACTCAGGGGTAGGCGGCGATGGTGCGAGCAGATTCAGAGACGGAGAGCGTGCAGATTCAGATGGCGATTGACGAAGTGAGTCAACCACTAGCTCCCTCCTTGATTTTGATTTTTGCATGTTGCCGTCAGTAGCCGCTGGATTCCGATTTCTGATTTTTGCCTATTATTCTTGCTTCTTCTTCTTCTTCCTCCTCTTCAATGAGGGCTTTTAGGGTTTCCAGACAGTGAAGGAGGTGAGATGGCGACATAGCGTGAAGGAGAAGAGGGTGGAGGCGATGGCCGATTTGATGGAGTCGCTCGTCGGAGAGCCGAAAGGCAGGGGAGTGCGAGGGATGTGAGTCGTCGCGGGGAATGGCGGCCGCCGAACGGTGTGGCAGCAGCGGCGGCCACTCTGTGACCTGTGGTTTTCATTTGGGAATTGGGAGGGGGCCTTAAGGCTTAAGGGTTGGGCTAGGGTTTTGCTATGAATTGTGGGCTGTGGGGAGTGGATTGTTGTGGGCTGTGAGGTATAATAGTGGGCTTTGGGTTTTTTTTTAATTGTAATAACTGTGGGCTTTTAGGTTCAGTTGAGTTGGTGTGGGTCTATTTCGGAATTTCAGTTCGGAACTCGGAACCTCGGTTCGGTTGGATGAACCTTGGTTTCCAAAGTATGAACATTTTCTTTCCGAATTCCGAACCGAACAGCCATATTTCGGTTCGGTTCGGTTCACCTCGGTTTCGGTTCGGTCCGGTTCGGGTTTACCGAACCGGATGCCCACCCCTAAGTTATTATACCTATTTTTTGTATTATTTTTATTGCAGAAATGAGGTGGAATTGTAAAACATTAAATTTTATTATTTTTTAACCGCTACGTCATTTACTTAACGGTCAACTATGAGAGTTGACTGTCACATCAGACAAAGTTAACCGAGTTGGACGGAGAGTGACCAAATTTGAACTGTTGAACTAATTTCAATGACCGCGAATGGAATTAAATATTTGCAATGACCAAACATGAATCTTTTTAGTAAACTCGGTGGCCAACGTTGCAATTAACATTTTTTTTATGGATACTGTGTAAAATGGCTTGGCCTCCAATCTCTGAATTCTGGCTCCGCTCATGACCTGTTAATTAGAATTCATTATTGATATTCATGGTTCTCCCAGGTGTTCTTGTCTTCATGAGGCATCTTTTTTAATTAGTTGTTTTCATATATTTAGTTAAAGGCTTAAACCCCATTTTAATTTTAATAGATCACAACATTAACCTACCATTCCATGAAATAGTCGATCAAAAGCTTTACTTAAATAAAAAAAAGGCAATGTCTATTTTTAGGAAATTTATAGATTTGGTTAAAATAAAAGAATCTGAAAAAGATTTGAATAAAAAATAGATATTACCCTTAAAAAAACATGTTTTATTTATTTATTTATTTATTCATTTATTCATAACTTCACTTAATTACCGTTAATGTGCGGCAACTGCCGAAGTTTCCATATTCCTTGTCGGTGACGGAAAAGGAAAATGGGTCGTCATTAACCTCGTAGGAAATGGTCAACAGTCAGTCCACCGGAGAAGCATTATATATATATGATATATCAGTATCACGCAATGACAAAGTCTCTCAAGCTTCGTCTCTAGCCCTAATCACCTCAAAGTCGGCCGAAAATCAGCAGCTCCACTTTGCGAGTTGCGGCCTTTCCTTTCCCCGCGGAAAGTTCGATCATGGCCATCGCCGACGACATTGGGAGCAACGCTTCTTCCGATCTAGGGTTTCTGCGAGCGAGACCCGGCTAAGGGAAACAAGGGATTTACTCCGCCGCCACCGACGCCGCCGTGAGAATGAGGATCTCGGGAACAGCGACCGGGGTCCGATTCGAGCCTGAAGACGATCAAATCATCACTTATCTCCTCGATAAGGTAATGGGCAATGCTTTGCCCTCTAATCCGGTGATCGATTGTGACCTGTACGGTGAAGATGAGGCTTGGAAGAAGCTGTTCGTTGAAACAGGGGAGTCGGAGTTGTATTTCTTCACCAGATTGAGGAAGGCGAAGACGAAGAAGGGGGAATTGGGCTGCGGCGGCGGCGGTGGCGGCGGTAGAGCTGAGAGGACCGTTGGCTCCAAGGCCACGTGGCGGTCAAGCAAGGACGACCCTATTTTTCTCCCCGGCCAGAACGTCCAGATCGGGTCGAAGCGGACTTTTACTTACCGTCTCAACCAGAGATCGGCGGCTGCCGGCGAGGAGGTGGCGGCGAGGAAGAAGGACGCAGGGGATGGGTTCTCAATGACGGAGTACCGCCTTGACGGCGTACTCAACTGCGTCGCCACGGATCTTGTGATGTGCTCGGTGAGAAGGAAAGAAAGCAGAGCATCCTCCGAGATGGAGATCATCGACGCCGGGGTTCCACCGGCGATGGCGACGTCGACTTCGACGGGTTGGCGTTTGCGGCCTTGTGGGTCGACCATGACTCAGCCGGTGATGGGAGGAATGACGTTTTTGTGCTAGTGTTGGTTCGAGATTTGCCTTCTGTTGATACCTCTCAGTATCAGTTGGAACAGAGGCAGAGAGTGACATCCATGGCTTACCGGATTAAAGATTATTTCAGTAGAAAGCAAGTAGTCTGCAAATTCTTAGCCTTCTTAGTCATTATTCAGATTCTTTGGGTTCATTGTGTTTGATGTCAGATTATAATCAAACAATGTCATTTATGTAACAGTTAGTTCATAATCAAATTGCAGTAGAATGTAATTAAGTTAGTGATTCTTAATGTCTGCAAATTCTCAAGTTCCACTCATTTATGAAACAGTTCTTGATCTCTACCAAAAATAACTAGCTCTTTCCATTTTGCACTTATGTGATAGTTCAAGATAAAACTACACTGGAGTGCAACTGTGCAAGTTAATTACTCTTAATGTCTGCACTTGCTCATTTATTTAACAGTTCTTGATCTCTACAAAAATTTAACTAGCTCTTGCCTCAGGCCTTGCCAGTTTTACACTATACTATACATACAAAATTGCCCTTATTCATTTCCATGATGATAATTTAACACACTAAAAAAACTACATCTGATAGCCAACACCACAAGAATAGGGCACAGTGCTTTCTTTGCTGACATATACGAGGAAAGAAGCAATAGTCGACCCTTTTCATGGCTAGGTAAACTAATTTCCAAAGCACGAGCACACCATTGGAAGGACTCTGAACCTAATTGAAGCTAGATGAACGACTCCACCTGCCCTTCAAGTAATCCTCCCAAGAGATACAGCTTCCTTGTTCTGAATTACTGAAGGATGTAGAATCAGTATCCATATCAAGGAATGCCAGGTTGAGATGAATGTGTGGGGTGGAGCTTGGGTAGACTTCGTCATCATAACTATCGTCCTCGTTTTCAGTAACATCCTCTTGACCTTTGTTCACAATCGACCATTTTAATGAGAACTCTGTTTCATCTCTGAGTAGACCAAGTACCTCGCTCATTTTAGGACGAAGCCGGACTGCTCTTGTCACGCAGAGGTTTGCTGCTTTAATCATTCGCTGCAACTGAACCTCGTTGACCAACTCCCAATCCAGATTTTGATCCAAGAGGTCTCTCAAATTCCCACTCTCTATAATCGGCTTTGCCTGAAGTCAAAAAGGGATTCAGACATTCAGTTCATTACTTAGTACTTCTACAGCAACTAGTAACAAAAAAAGAAGAGCATCTTGAAATTAGATGGACAGTGAGGTGAAAATGGCTATCCTACCCAGGTGACCAAGCTCTGCTGAGCCTTGGAATTCTCTGAAGAGATGATGATTGGTTCTCTGCCTGAGATCAATTCAAGAAGCACCACACCGAAAGCATACACATCAATCTTGTCACTGACTTTCCCATACATGAAATACTCCGGGGCAAGGTACCCAAATGTTCCAACGACATCTGCTTGAGTCACAAAGGATGAAGCTGTAGGTCCCCACATAGCCAGGCCAAAATCTGATAGCTGAGCGAGCACAAAAGAAAACATAAACTTTTGGTCAATTTAAGGTGAAAGAGTTTCATGTTTTAACTACTTGTTGATTGATTTACCTGAGGTTCCAGTCCATCTGAGAGGAGAATGTTTGCAGACTTGACATCCATATGAATTACAGGCCTTGGAGCTTCAATGTGAAGGTAGTTCAATGCTTCTGCTACTTTGACAGCTATATGAAACCTCGAGTCCCATGACAGTAAAGATTTGTCCTTGTTTTTACTGTGGATGTTCTCTGCTAAGCTTCCCTTTGGTAAGAAGTGATATACAGAAATGAGATCAGAGTCCTTGATGCTGATCCCAACAAGAGGCGTGATGTTCTTGTGGTTCAGTGATGCGATAATCTCAACTTCCTGAACAAATTCCTCCCTTGCCTCTGGTGACGACTTTCGGATCTTCACTGCAACTGGATTACCATCTTGGAGAGTCCCCTTGTAGACCTGGTTGCATCCGCCTTTCCCAATCAAATTTGCTGCAAGATTTGACAGATCACAGTAAAGAACATGAAATACCAAATGGCAAACTGTAATTTCAAAGAATGTCATTTAAGGCGAAGAAAACCTGAATGAAACTTGCAAGTGGCAGCCTTCAAAAGCTCATAGCTTAACCAATTGCAGCCGCAAGATGAACCTTCCTTCACCAGAACCTCCAACCTCTTTCCAATCTCACCTAGCTCAGAAAAACTAACCTCAGTGGCTTCACACTTCTTCTCTTCTGATAAACTCTCGAGTCTCGAATTCACCAACGGGGATCGATTTGGTAAGCTCATTGCCCACCTCACCACAGACAGTTCCCTAGCTCGCAATATCTCAGGATCAGCTGAAGTTGCTCTTCTGAGAAGAGGCCAGCCAGGCTTCTGCTCAAGAATATCTCCTTCAGCCAAACATGACATTGATCGCCTTCTCTTAACCAGAGCAGAAATCTCATCCTTTGAGTCCCCTCCTCCATTCGCGTCTCCTGATGACCGCATCTCAAAGCTCGATCTCATGCTGCCTAACTCCGAGTCACCAAATTCAGATGGGGCTTCTCTAACCAAAGGGCTTGACATCTGACTCAAACTTGGTTTAAGATCTCCACTGTTTCTTCCCTCTGGCACAACCATCAACCTGCTCTATTAGTCATAACAACTTATCTGTGGAAATTGAAAGAATACTTTTTTTTTAACAAGTAACAAACCTGGTAGCTGAAAATTGTTCAACCTTCTGAAAACTACTCTGCCGTTGTGGATGGCCAAAACATCAGTAGTTGGTGGCAACCTCTTGATGCAATATCTAGCTGTGGCATTCCAACCCCTGAAAGTTGACATAGCCAGATGTAAAGGCCAATAATCGGAATGTATGAAGGTAATTTATTTGTTGCATACCAGATAGATTTTGGGTTGCTGATGCCCAAAATTAGAGCAGCAGCAGAATGGTTCTTGGCCTCTCTAACCAAAGTCCTCCGAACCGAATTCCCTGTAGAGATTCTACCTGTGAGATCCACCTGAAACCCAAAACCAATCATATTTCCTTGTTTTCTCTTTGAAGCAAACCATCAAATACTTGGTGATCAAATTTACCTTCTTCACAGAGCACAAGCTATCATAAGTTTCCAAATAGCTATCCAGCAATGGCTTCCCTCTAGGAGCACTTCCTGCAAAAAAAAAAAAAAAAAAAAAAAAAAAAAAAAAAAAACCAACAACAACCATAAACAAAAAAAGTCAGCAACTCCTCAAGAACCCAAATGAAACAATTTGTCGAAAATCAGCTTTACCAGAGCTTCGAGAGACGTGAACAGCCACAACACAATCTCCAGGCTCAGCGACCTTAAAAACAGCCCAGCCAAGGAGCTCTCTGCTGTTACTGTCAAAATTCATCCCAACCAACACATTCCTCTTCTGGGTACTCTCAATTGGCATTTTCACCCCAAAAAAATTTCCCCTTTGCCACCAACCGATAATTACTTCCCCTCTCTTTCCCCCCTAACTTAACCGTATCATCACCATTAAAGCATCAAAAGTGTTGCTTTCTGGCACCAATTTACAGGAGGTGCACGAACTTGGAGAAATCCTCCCACTTCCAGAACCAAATCGACCCATTTCAAGCCCTGCAGAAATTTTTCCGGCAAAAATGAAACAACCTGCTGGAATTAGAAACCTTCTCACCCACCCTTATAAATTCCGCTCATCTACCCAACTTAAATGCCGCCTGCCCCCCGAGTTTACCCAGAACAAGAACAACATAAAAGAACTCAAACCGAAACAGAAAAAGGTTCAGTGAGAATGTACCTGAGAATTTTTGGCAAATTGGTCCTCTGAAAGCTCAGACTTTAAAATGGAAAAATGCCGCCAAGCACCGTGACCTAACACCAACTACTTGATTTGTTTAATGGTGAGGGTGACGATAATTCGATTATGGAAAGAAAAGGGTATTCGCTTGATGACATGGGATCAAAGAGGAAGACAACAAAAACAGAGAAGGAAGTGTCGGCAAAGAGAGAAAAGTGAAGAGGGAAATTGTAAGTGGTAAATAGGGATCGAACTTCCAACTTGTTTTTCTTCTTCACAGATTTTCCCTTTTAGGGAAACTTTTTCGAAGGTTTGATTTTCTGTTGATGGTAATGTGAGGCGGTTAAGAGGGAGAGGATATTTGCGGGAAACCCATGATACTCGGTCGTCATAATCGGGAACTAAGAAAACGGGGTTGAAAGGAAATGGAAAGATGAATGACTGTTATTTTCACCGGCTATTTCGCAGTTTTTTCTTTTAGTTTCAAACAGCTTTGACCCTCCTCTTCCCTCATTTTCTCTAATGAGCACAAATGAACGTCCAAATTTTAGTAATATCTATTTGAATCTGTTGGGGTATCACCCAGCAGGCTAGGAGATTGGGCTTCCAAAGGAGGAGTTGGGGGGCAAAGCCCAAAAGGGTAAGAATCAATACCCACTAGTGGCCTTTGGGCCCAAACAAAGAGAAGGACCTCAAGAGTAAAGCACCAAAAGCCAGGTGGCGGCCAACCGGCTGGGGGACCACAGTCTGCGGGCGCCTGTCGTGTGTCAGGTGTCAGGAGTCTGACAGGGCGGTTAGATGTCTCACAGAGCACCAAAAGCCAGGTGGCGGCCGACTGGCTGGTGGACCACGGCCTGCGGGCGCCTGTCGTGTGTCAGGAGCCTGGCAGAGCTGTGGGATGTCAGTCAGGTGTCAGGAGTCTGACAGGGCGGTTAGCTGTCTGGTGGCGCAGAGCATTAAATGAGAATGGTGACGTGGCGGAGATCAGCCTCGGGTTCGGTGAGTATAAATAGAGGCAGTCGACAGCATTTACGCAGGTTGGCTTCTCTGACTAAACTATTTCTTGACACTTATCTCTCTAGAAGAAGAGCACTGACTTGAGCTTCGGAGTGCTAACGGGTCGGCCAAGGCCCTTAGGCGCTTGTGGGTGCAGGTTCCAGGCGCCCAAGTGACAGTTAAGCGGGAAAGTGGAGGATAAGCGTTCGGGGGTATCCAGGCTCAAACAATTGGCGCGCCAGATAGGGGACGCCTGACGCACGAAGACGGTAAGCGCATGGAGAACATAAACGAAGGGAACGATGGAGAAGGTAATTCCAGGTCGGGGAACTCGGATCACGAGGGAGGCGAGCGTCAACTGAGTCAGGAGAGGAGCATGGATGAGGAGGGACAAGGAAGCCCTAGGCGCCTGTCCGCTGATGATAGCGAGTCTTTGACGAAAAGAGAGTTGTTTCGAATCATAGCCGATCAAGATCGGGCCATAGCGGCGCTCAAGAGGGAGTTGGAAGGGGAACGAAGTGAAGATATGATGATGTACAGCCCAGGGGCGAGAAAGCGGGAAAGAAAGGGGAAGATTCAGAGTCTCTGCAATACGGACCGCCGCATGCCTCCGAGCAGGGGCACGACGTGTTTGGGCGCCCACGAGATGGGAGGCTAAATATCGAGCGCGCGCAAACAGGCCCAGAGGACGTATGGGCGCCTAGGAGGATTGCTCGAAGGTTTGGTGTTCGGCAGCCTCTGGCACGATGCATCCTAATGGAGCCAGCGGGAACTACGATCCCCCCGTTGCCGAGTTATGATGGGGTGGCTGACCCGGAGGACCACCTGAATAGCTACTTCACTAAGATGCAGCTCTATAACAGCTCCGACGCCACATTGTGCAAGGTGTTTCCATCCACATTCGCAGGCGTGGTCTTGGATTGGTACCACCAAATTGAGGAGGGGCGCATAGAATGTTTCGAACAATTTGCTGAGTTGTTTTTGTCCAAGTTTGCAAGCCGAAAGCGCCGGACATTGACCATAGGGGCGTTGTTTAAAGTCAAACAGAGGGAGGGCGAGGCGCTCAGAGAGTTCTACGATCGATGGATCTCGGTTGCCATGGCGGTCAAAGATGTTCAACCAGCCGTGTTGGGGGTCTGCTTGGATGCCTGCACCTCAAGCGAAGAGCTATGCCGGGTCCTGTCCAAGCGAGATGTAGTATCCACCGAAGACCTTGACCGAAGAGTACAAAAGGTGATTATGTTGGAAGAAACTTTGGCGGCGCGAAGGGCTGAAAAGAGGCGCCTAAGAGGTGATGAAGGTGAGGTGAGGCAGGCGCCCAGACCTGGTCCCGGAAATTTCGTCCCACCAAGGAGGCCAGAGGCGCCCCGCCTTGTGCCGAGGAGTGCTGCAAATTTTACAGAGTACAATGATACCCTCAAGAATGTGCTGCAATATGTGAAGGATAGGGGCTACCATATACGGTGGCCGGGGCCCATGCGCGGCCAGCCTAACGAAAAAAATCTTGACAGATATTGTGACTTCCATCGCGACAAGGGGCATCACACGGCCGATTGTTACCAACTAAAGTCCGAACTTCAAACTTTAGCTGACAAGGGCATGCTCAACGACTTCGTTAGAAGGATGGAGGACAGGACGCATCGAACCTATGTGACGAGGCAGGCACCGGAACAGAGGAGGGCGCCTGAAGAACCCAGAGCCCAAATCGTGGTGCCGCCCACGGTCAATGAAGCGCCCAAAGAACCAGAAACTGAGCCGGCGCCTATTATTCCACCACCCCCGTTTGAAGTGGATCAAGAGGGAGAACCTAGTCGTGTAAGGCTTACAGTTGAGTCCATAACGGGTACCCTTGACTTGAGAGAGAAGTTGGAAAGATCTAGGCGCCTGCGAGCTGCGTCGCTTGAAGCCAGGGAATCCGTACACATCCACTTTAATCAGGAACCGGATGAGGCGTGCCAAGTCCCGTCGGGAGAAGCTCTTGAGATACAAGGGGTGATAGCCGGATGTAAGGTGAAGAGAATGTTGGTGGACACAGGCAGCTCTATGGATGTCCTCTTCAAGAGCACCTTCGAACGAATGCAGCTGGCGCCTGAGTTGGTGCGTCCCTCAAATTCGGTGTTGGTCGGATTCTCTGGAGCGCCTGCTCAAGTCATCGGACGCGTACGCCTTCCCGTGACTCTGGGGGACGAAACGCATTGCGTAACGCATGCAGTGGAGTTTGGCATCGTTGACTGTCCATCGCCATACAATGTGATACTTGGCCGACCTCTTTTGGCTCAATTCAATGGGGTAGCCTCGACGTGCCATCAGACGCTGAAGTTCGTCGCTCCCCAAGGCGTAGGCGTCTCGCGAGGAAGGAACGTCCCACGATATGCAAGAGAAGAGGAATCAAAGAGTCGAGGTCGGAAGCATAGACTGAATATCATAGACATCCGTCCGGAGGAGGCGCCCAGGGCGGAGCCGGTAGATGATGAGATAGCTGTGATATTGGACGAGGGGCGCCCAGACCAAATGATACGAATATCATCACAGGCGCCAGAGGCTATGAGAGCGCCCTTAATAGAATTGTTGCGGGAATTCGGAGAATTGTTTGCATGGAGCGCCCGGGATATGCCCGGAGTGTCCCCTGAAGTTGCGGCTCATAGGCTGGCAGTGGAAGAAGGTAAAAGGCCGGTGCAACAAAAGCGACGAAACTTGACCCCCGAGAAAGAAGAGGCGCTCCGGCATGAAGTTGATAGGTTGCGAGAGGCGGGGTTTGTGGAGGAAGCAAGGTACATTACGTGGCTCTCCAACGTAGTGTTTGTCCCAAAACCGTCGGGAGATTGGAGGATGTGCGTGGACTTTACTAACCTCAACCGGGCATGCCCGACGGATGCTTACCCTATGCCACGCATCGACTTGCTGGTAGATGCAACGGCGTATCATGAGGCGCTCAGCTTCTTGGACATGTTTTCAGGCTATCATCAGATCCCTATGGTGGAGGAGGACCGGGCGAAAACGGCCTTCATGACGCCTTTCGGCAACTTTTGCTATCGTGTCATGGCATTTGGTTTGAAGAATGCAGGCGCCACGTACCAACGTATGGTAAACCAAGTCTTCCGCAAGCAGATAGGGAGAAACGTGGAAGCATATGTGGATGATTTGATAGTAAAGAGCAAGAGGCGCCTAGATCATATCCTGGACCTCCGGGAAACTTTCGAAACAATGCGCAGATTCAATTTAAGGCTTAACCCCAAAAAGTGCGTGTTCTTTGCAGAGGCGGGAAAGTTCTTGGGTTTCATGATAACCAAGAGGGGGATTGAGGCCAATCCCAGGCAGGTGGAGGCCATCAAGAACTTGGCACCCCCGAGAACGCCGAAAGAGGTGCAGGTGTTGACGGGGAGGCTGGCGGCGTTGGGACGGTTCATTCCGCGAGCCTCGGACCGGGGCGCCCCCTTCTTCAAGGTATTGAAAAAGGCCACCAAGTTTCGATGGACAGAAGAATGCAACAAGGCGTTTGAAGAATTGAAGGGGCTACTCATAGCGCCTACGGTAATGACCGCGCCTAGAGCCAAGGAAGTGCTATACTTGTACCTAGCGGTGTCCCAAATCGCTGTGAGCGCTGTGCTGATATCTAAAGACTCGCTAACAAATGAAGAGAGACCGGTGTATTACGTCAGCCGCACCATGGTTGGCCATGAGACGCGATATGCACCCATAGAGAAGGCGGCGTTGGCGGTAGTAATGGCCGCGAACAAGCTCAGACCTTATTTTCAGGCTCATAGCATCGTGGTGCTCACCAACCTGCCACTAAGGACGATTCTCGGGTCAATGGATGTGTCTGGGCGCCTGGTGAAGTGGGCCGTGCAATTAAGTGAGTTTGATATAAGTTACGCGCCCCGTCCAGCTATCAAGGCTCAAGTGTTGGCAGACTTCATGGCCGAAGGTGTGGCCGACGGAGGGCCGGGCATTGAGGAATGCTGGCAAGTGCACGTGGATGGAGCAGCAAGTCGGGCAGGCGCTGGGGCCGGCATGGTGCTCGTTAGCCCTTTAGGCGCCCTTCATGAAATTGCGCTTCGTTTTGCAACCCTCAAAACGAACAATGCGGCTGAATACGAGGCTGTTCTGGCCGGACTTCATTTTGCGAGGGAGCTGGGCGCCCAAAGGGTTAATGTGAAAACTGACTCAGCGCTGGTGGTCAATCAGCTGAACGAAGTTTACGAAGTAAAAGAGGAGGCTCTATGCGCCTATGTGCAGTCTGTGCGGAAGAGGTGCGCATGGTTTCGAGAGGTAACTTTCACGCATGTCCCAAGAGAGGAGAATGCTCATGCAGACGCTTTGTCTAAATTGGCTACGGCTTTAGACTTTGAGGAGAGTCGGACGGTGATTGTGGCAAAAGAAGTCCCACACGAAGAGGTGGTAATGGCCTCCATCCTACCGGGAGTGCAAGAAGGGTGGATGGCACCAATTCGCCTCTTCCTAACACAGGGAGTCGTACCGGAGAACCCAAAGGATGCCTGACGCCTTCGTCGGAAGGCAG